AGGAGTCAGGAATCGCGGGAAGAACTAAAAGCCATAAATGAAATCGAAAGAAACCCAAAGTATTTCTTCTCCTATGCCAAATCAAAGTCGAGAACAACATCCAGTATTGGGCCCCTACTTAAACAAGATGGGTCCTACACAGATAACAGCAAGGAAATGAGTGAGCTACTCAAGTCCCAATATGACTCAGTTTTTAGCAAGCCGCTAACCAGACTGAGAGTCGAAGATCAAAATGAATTTTTTATGAGAGAGCCACAAAATTTGGTTCACACAAGCCTATCCGATGTTATCCTGACGCCAAATGACTTCGAACAAGCGATAAATGACATGCCCATGCACTCTGCCCCAGGGCCAGACTCATGGAACTCCGTGTTTATCAAGAACTGCAAGAAGCCCCTATCACGAGCCTTTTCCATCCTATGGAGAGGGAGCATGGACACGGGGGTCGTCCCACAGTTACTAAAAACAACAGACATAGCCCCACTCCACAAAGGGGGCAGTAAAGCAACAGCAAAGAACTACAGACCGATAGCACTAACATCCCATATCATAAAAATCTTTGAAAGGGTCCTAAGAAGCAAGATCACCACCCATCTAGAAACATCAGTTACACAACCCAGGGCAACATGGGTTTAGAACAGGTCGCTCCTGTCTGTCTCAACTATTGGATCACTACGACAAGGTCCTAAATGCACTAGAAGATAAAAAGAATGCAGATGTAATATATACAGACTTTGCAAAAGCCTTCGACAAGTGTGACCATGGCGTAATAGCGCACAAAATGCGTGCTAAAGGAATAACAGGAAAAGTCGGTCGATGGATCTATAATTTCCTCACTAACAGAACACAGAGAGCAGTCGTCAACACAGTAAAGTCCGAGGCAGCTACGGCGAAAAGCTCTGTTCCACAAGGCACAGTACTCGCTCCCATCGTGTTCCTCATCCTCATATCCGACATAGACAAGGATGTCAGCCACATCACCGTGTCTTCCTTTGCTTATGACACCCGAATCTGCATGACAGTGTCTTCCATTGCAGACACTGCAAGGCTCCAGGCGGACATCAACCGAATCTTTCAGTGGGCTGCAGAAAACAATATGAAGTTCAACGATGAGAAATTTCAATTACTCAGATATGGTAAACACGAGGAAATTAAATCTTCATCAGAGTACAAAACAAATTCTGGCCACAAAGTAGAGCGAAACACCAACGTCAAAGACCTGGGAGTGATCATGTCGGAGGATCTCACCTTCAAGGACCATAACATTGTATCAATCGCATCTGCTAGAAAAATGACAGGATGGATAATGAGAACCTTCAAAACTAGGGAGGCCAAGCCCATGATGACACTCTTCAGGTCACTTGTTCTATCTAGGCTGGAATATTGCTGCACACTAACAGCACCTTTCAAGGCAGGTGAAATGCTGACCTAGAAAATGTACAGAGAACCTTCAACGGCGCGCATAACGGAGATAAAACACCTCAATTACTGGGACGTTTGAGGTTCCTGAACCTGTATTCCTGGAACGCAGGCGGGAGGAGATACATGATTACTACACCTGGAAAATCCTTTAGAGGGACTAGTACCGAACTTGCACACGAAAATCACTCACTTCGAAAGCAAAAGACTTGGCAGACGATGCAACATCCCCCCAATGAAAGCAGGGGTGTCACTAGCACGTTAAGAGACCATACAATAAGTGTCAGGGGCCCGAGACTGTTCAACTGCCTCCCAACATACATAAGGGGGATTACCAACAGACCCCTGGCAGTCTTCAAGCTGGCACTGGACAAGCACCTAAAGTCGGTTCCTGACCAGCCGGGCTGTGGCTCGTACGTTGGTTTGCGTGCAGCCAGCAGCAACAGCCTGGTTGATCAGGCTCTGATCCACGAGGAGGCCTGGTCACAGACCGGGCCGCGGGGGCGTTGACCCCCGGAACTCTCTCCAGGTAAACTCCAGTGATGATAGTGGAAGACTGTGAGTGACCTATCATCTTCCTCTAGTGATGATAGTGGGAGACTGTGAGTGACCTACCATCTTCCTCTAGCGATGATAGTGGGAGACTGTGAGTGATCTACCATCTTCCTCTAGTGATGATAGTGGGAGACTGGGAGTGACCTACCATCTTCCTCTAGTGATGATAGTGGGAGACTGTGAGTGACCTACCATCTTCCTCTAGCGATGATAGTGGGAGACTGTGAGTGATCTACCATCTTCCTCTAGTGATGATAGTGGGAGACTGGGAGTGACCTACCATCTTCCTCTAGTGATGATAGTGGGAGACTGTGAGTGATTTACCATCTTCCTCTAGTGATGATAGTGGGAGACTGTGAGTGATCTACCATCTTTCTCTAGTGATGATAGTGGGAGGCTGTGAGTGATTTACCATCTTCCTCTAGTGATGATAGTGGGGGACTGTGAGTGATCTACCATCTTTCTCTAGTGATGATAGTGGGAGACTGTGAGTGATCTACCATCTTCCTCTAGTGATGATAGTGGAAGACTGTGAGTGATTTACCATCTTCCTCTAGTGATGATAGTGGGGGACTGTGAGTGATCTACCATCTTTCTCTAGTGATGATAGTGGGAGACTGTGAGTGATCTACCATCTTTCTCTAGTGATGATAGTGGGAGGCTGTGAGTGACCTACCATCTTCCTCTAGTGATGATAGTGGGAGACTGTGAGTGATTTACCATCTTCCTCTAGTGATGATAGTGGGAGACTGAGAGTGATTTACCATCTTCCTCTAGTGATGATAGTGGGAGACTGTGAGTGATCTACCATCTTTCTCTAGTGATGATAGTGGGAGGCTGTGAGTGACCTACCATCTTCCTCTAGTGATGATAGTGGGAGACTGTGAGTGATTTACCATCTTCCTCTAGTGATGATAGTGGGAGACTGTGAGTGACCTACCATCTTCCTCTAGTGATGATAGTGGGAGACTGGTAGTGACCTACCATCTTCCTCTAGTGATGATAGTGGGAGACTGTGAGTGACCTACCATCTTCCTCTAGTGATGATAGTGGGAGACTGGTAGTGACCTACCATCTTCCTCTAGTGATGATAGTGGGAGACTGTGAGTGACCTACCATCTTCCTCTAGTGATGATAGTGGGAGACTGGTAGTGACCTACCATCTTCCTCTAGTGATGATAGTGGGAGACTGTGAGTGACCTACCATCTTCCTCTAGTGATGATAGTGGGAGACTGTGAGTGACCTACCATCTTCCTCTAGTGATGATAGTGGGAGACTGTGAGTGATTTACCATCTTCCTCTAGTGATGATAGTGGGAGACTGGGAGTGATTTACCATCTTCCTCTAGTGATGATAGTGGGAGACTGTGAGTGATTTACCATCTTCCTCTAGTGATGATAGTGGGAGACTGGGAGTGATTTACCATCTTCCTCTAGTGATGATAGTGGAGACTGTGAGTGATTTACCATCTTCCTCTAGTGATGATAGTGGGAGACTGTGAGTGATTTACCATCTTCCTCTAGTGATGATAGTGGAAGACTGTGAATGATTTACCATCTTCCTCTAGTGATGATAGTGGGAGACTGTGAGTGATCTACCATCTTTCTCTAGTGATGATAGTGGGAGACTGTGAGTGATCTACCATCTTTCTCTAGTGATGATAGTGGGAGGCTGTGAGTGACCTACCATCTTCCTCTAGTGATGATAGTGGGAGACTGTGAGTGATTTACCATCTTCCTCTAGTGATGATAGTGGGAGACTGTGAGTGATTTACCATCTTCCTCTAGTGATGATAGTGGGAGACTGTGAGTGACCTACCATCTTCCTCTAGTGATGATAGTGGGAGAATGTGAGTGATCTACCATCTTTCTCTAGTGATGATAGTGGGAGACTGTGAGTGACCTACCATCTTCCTCTAGTGATGATAGTGGGAGACTGTGAGTGATCTACTATCTTTCTCTAGTGATGATACTGGGAGACTGTGATTGATTTACCATCTTCCTCTAGTGATGATAGTGGGAGACTGTGAGTGATCTACTATCTTTCTCTAGTGATGATAGTGGGAGACTGTGAGTGATTTACCATCTTCCTCTAGTGATTACAGTGGGAGACTGTGAGTGATCTACCATCTTTCTCTAGTGATGATAGTTGGAGACTGTGAGTGATCTACCATCTTCCTCTAGTGATGATAGTGGGAGACTGTGAGTGATTTACCATCTTCCTCTAGTGATTACAGTGGGAGACTGTGAGTGATCTACCATCTTTCTCTAGTGATGATAGTGGGAGACTGTGAGTGATCTACCATCTTCCTCTAGTGATGATAGTGGGAGACTGGGAGTGATCTACCATCTTCCTCTAGTGATGATAGTGGGAAACTGTGAGTGATCTACCATCTTCCTCTAGTGATGATAGTGGGAGACTGGGAGTGATCTACCATCTTCCTCAAGTGATGATAGTGGGAGACTGTGAGTGATCTACCATCTTCCTCTAGTGGTAAAGGAAGATGGTACAACTAATCAAAATAGCTAGAGTAATTTTAGAAGCTAGCTTGTGACAAACGCTAGGATGTAAATTAATTTTTATCAAATGCAAAATTATTTATTGTAATATGTTTAGCGATTTAACACATTACACGCCCAGAAAAAGCCGTATGCGCATTTTTGTCTGTACACTTGAAGTAGGTTGTCTTAATTAATATCTGGCTTAAATATGAAAGAATTAAAAATAGTGACTGATAAGTTAATGTAACAGAAAGTTAAGCATAAGACAACTGCCAGCTATATTTTAATATTCTAAAAACAGGCTCAGTATCATTATTAGAGCAATATACAAAACATGTTAAGAGTGCAGATAATGTACATTCACAGTCAATTAATGTACGTTGCTACTAAATTTAAAGTAGTGCATATTAAGGATTTACTGGATTAAGCTTTCAAGCAATATGCTGACTACGAGTGACAATTATAAATTTAAATATACTACTTACTGGTAACAATTATAAATAATACATAAGTAGTTTACTAACTGTTTGCTGGGCGACGGACTGATCCTGGAGCGGAAGTTAATACCTTCACCAAGAGGACACTTGTTGTGGGCACACTGTGATCTTAATGTTAAGTGTGACGGCTCTTGTGGTGTCCTTTGTGTCGGTAAGTAGACTACATCACTTGAGAAGCTCTCTTGGAATGTGTCCAGATCCGCTGACGATCCTGACGTGTCCGTTCTGGGTTGAAGTGAGTCTTCCATCACCTCACTTCAGAAAGATGGTTGGAAAACAACCATTTCACTCTAGTGTGTGTAGTAACGTCCCTTCTTTGCTAATTATATTGTTCTTTGCTCTTTTATCTTTATATAATAAAGAAATCATTACAAGTAATTAAAAATACACGTTATAAGTTTACATCTGAACTTTATATTCACCAGTTAAGAAAATAAGTGAATGCTTTGAAAAAGGTAAAATAATTATAAACTTATAATTATAAAGCAATGTTAAGGAACTTTTAAGTTGGTTTGGGGGTAATTTCATCACTGGGGTGTTACAACTACAAATATATGATAGTATTGTTATCATACATATATTGTTTCAGTAGACCTAATTTGAGTTAATATTTCTTTGTCTGTTTTTATTTATTGCTAACAGATGATATATATATATATATATATGTGTGTGTGTGTGTGTGTGTGTGTGTGTGTGTGTGTGTGTGTGTGTGTGTGTGTGTTTACCTGGAGTTTACCTGGAGAGAGTTCCGGGGGTCAACGCCCCCGCGGCCCGGTCTGAGACCAGGCCTCCTGGTGGATCAGAGCCTGATCAACCAGGCTGTTGCTGCTGGCTGCACGCAAACCAACATACGAGCCACAGCCCGGCTGATCCGGAACTGACTTTAGATGCTTGTCCAGTGCCAGCTTGAAGACTGCCAGGGGTCTGTTGGTAATCCCCCTTATGTGTGCTGGGAGGCAGTTGAACAGTCTCGGGCCCCTGACACTTATAAAAATCATTATACCCATGGGGTGTGTGTGTTTGTGTGTGTGTACAATACGTTTCATTTTGTATTGTAACTTACCATGCCTAAACATTATGTTCAATATATATGTTTTCACTTTCTATTGTAACTTGTTCTGCCTATAGTACAATAATAGCTCATTATAAAATATTTTTTTTAATTGATAAGGGGGATTACCAATAGACGCCTGGCTGTCTTCAAGGAGGGGCTGGACAGGCACCTAAAGTCAGTACCTGACCAACCGGGTTGTAGTTCGTACGTCAGTTTCCGTGCGACCAGCAGTAACAGCCTGGTTGATCACGTCCTGGTCACGGACCGGGTCGCAGGGCGTTGACCCCCGAGACCCTCTCCATGTAGTATAATTTAGTATTGGCGTGCAAACTTTTCATTTGCATGTAGTACAGTATATATTATGTTTAATTTACTGTTTATAATAAAAATATTCACCATTAAGTTAGTATTGCCACGTGTAGTACTCTGTATTAATTATGTTTATATAAATGTACAATATACTTTGAATGCTGCTTTCAGACTAAATATGCCCGAAATACTTAGTGCGGGGACTGTGGCTAGGCCTGGGGACTCGGGACACTCCCTAGACAGGGAGCCAAGGCCGGGTCACCACTCTTGGAAAAGACCCGGGCCGGGAGAGTACCGGCGAATAAAAAAAAAAATAAGTGTGGAACACCACAACGTACATGGTTATAAATGACTATAATTTTTAAAGGGGTGGACCGGTAAGCCAGCGGAAGGCCTCGGTCAGATGACCAAAGCTCCAAAGGCGGGTCATCATCTGACTAAGACCCGCGTCAGGAAACATTTGTCATGTTTCCTGATAAACCTAACCTAAATAAGTGTGGCTTTTCCATGTAGGAAATCTTTGAACCTTAAATTTATCGTCTTGGAAAAGTTAATTTAAAATCATTATACCCATGGGGTGGGTAGTTATCAGAAGATTACAAAGGTATATAATGGGTCCAAGGACTGGGTCTCAAAGTTTTGATAGCTAAATAAGTTACAGTGGCAATGAACGGATGATAATTATGATGATTGTTATTACATATTAAAAGACACATAACAAAAACACTTTCGCTCTGTACTGAGACTGATGCTAGATGTATTAAATTAATTTATGCGGTATTATATGGATTGTGGAGATCCTTATAGAAAAAATAGGTTCTCCTCTCACATTCCACTCTTTCCGACTTCGTTGCCGGCAGGAATAAAGAAGTTTATTATCTTGCGATACTCAAAAAGGATGTGAATAACTGATATCAGGTTCCACCTGCCATAGGGACATTGATATTCCCTGAATCAGCTGGTTTACCATCTACAGGTAGACTCCAAGACAGTCCACAGGTTAAACTCCAAGACAGTCCACAGGTTAAACCCCAAGACAGTCCACAGGTTAAGCTCCAAGACAGTCCACAGGTTAAACTCCAAGACAGTCCACAGGTTAAGCTCCAAGACAGTCCACAGGTTAAACTCCAAGACAGTCCACAGGTTAAACTCCAAGACAGTCCACAGGTTAAACTCCAATACAGTCCACAGGTTAATCTCCAATACAGTCCACAGGTTAAACTCCAACACAGTCCACAGGCAGACTCCAACACAGTCCACAGGTAGAGTCTAACAGTCCACAGGTAGATTCCAACAGTTCACTACCACCTAGCATTCATCGTGTAGCGTCCATGGTCTGACTTCCAAATGGTCAATCCTAGGTGATGGCGGGACTTGTGGGAGATGTCGTGGATGCGACTAAAGGCAGGGCGCGTCACCCCTCTTTGCTGGTCCTAGGGGTACGTGGCTGGTGGTCTGTAGGTCTCAGGCCGCAGGGATGCATGTATAGTTGTGGAATCAAACTCATTGCTCTCGTGTTTGTAAGAGTGCAGTGTCCCTGTGAGATCCCCGCCAGCTAATTATCATCACTTATTGAATATAACCTCAAATCTATTAACTCTTGTATTTTCTATATTAAAAAACTTGCAAATTAAACTCCTGCAATAAAAAGACCGAGGTGAGGAGAGAGCTTCAACACCACGGGGGTTAAGATTTATTTACGGAACCTTTCTCTCAACATGTTTAATTTGTTCTATTATCATTGTTGGTGATTACAATGCTAGACACAGAAAGATCACAGTTTAGCCACTGTAATAGTAAACAACTTTTATTACGCAAAAATAATCATGTAGATTGAGGGCAACCTTGAGCTCCACACGCATATCTTGATCAGTGTCTTGGTTTCAACATTTCCTTAGATAGCTGAGTCTTCCATTATAAAAGACATCATTGACCATTTCCCAAGACTACTCAGTATTACTATCGGTAATACTACTTTCATCTCTGTTGAGATATGAGCAAGATAAACTGAGTAAGGTAATAACACCTCACTCAGTGAGGTGTTACTTCACTCATTCATGTAACACCTCACAAAGCGTTTCGATACTTCAACATATATTGTAGGAAGCCTACTGGTCCACAATTTCAAAAATAAATAATAGTAATTTTTTCTAATAAAACAGTACATTACAAATAACTCAAGCCTCTAATTAGATTAAAATTATATAGAACTAATAAGATAGAAAAAAAGTGTATAGGTAACTCAAATTAAACATTTCAGGCCATCAACTCAAAAACATTAGAATGGAGGAGCACTGCAGTAGGCTCAAAAATCCAACCTCCCACACACATTTGTCCAACACGTTTTACTATTTTTTAATTATTGAAATTGTCTCTTATAGTTTAATTTGAGGTATCACCTTATTTTGTTAAGTGTTGTCCCAAGACATTGTCTAGTTATCTTAGTATAATGTATCTTAATGGAAAGTTCAGAGTGGTTTTGGGCTGTATTTCGGTTTGCCATTTTTTATTGAAGAAGCTGGGACATTAATTTCTATGCGATATCTTTTGAATGCCTTCTCAGATTAGTCTTGAAGCATGTTCAGAGCTGAGGGACTGATTACCTCGTCTTTTGTATATAGTTCTACAGTCTTCACATGTCATTGAATTGTTTTGATAAAGCCACTGGATGACGAAACGTTTATAAATAAAGATACCCAGATGTTGCAGGAAAAATGACGGGATGGATAATGAGAACCTTCAAAACTAGGGATGCCAAGCCCATGATGACACTCTTCAGGTCACTTGTTCTATCTAGGCTGGAATATTGCTGCACACTAACAGCACCTTTCAAGGCAGGTGAAATTGCTGACCTAGAAAATGTACAGAGAACCTTCACGGCGCGCATAACGGAGATAAAACACCTCAATTACTGGGAGCGCTTGAGGTTCCTGAACCTGTATTCCCTGGAACGCAGGCGGGAGAGGTACATGATTACATACACCTGGAAAATCCTAGAGGGACTAGTACCGAACTTGCACACGAAAATCACTCACTACGAAAGCAAAAGACTTGGCAGACGATGCAACATCCCCCCAATGAAAAGCAGGGGTGTCACTAGCACGTTAAGAGACCATACAATAAGTGTCAGGGGCCCGAGACTGTTCAACTGCCTCCCAGCATACATAAGGGGGATTACCAACAGACCCCTGGCAGTCTTCAAGCTGGCACTGGACAAGCACCTAAAGTCGGTACCTGACCAGCCGGGCTGTGGCTCGTACGTTCGTTTGCGTGCAGCCAGCAGTAACAGCCTGGTTGATCAGGCTCTGATCCACCAGGAGGCCTGGTCACAGAACGGGCCGCGGGGGCGTTGACCCCCGGAACTCTCTCCAGGTAAACTCCAGGTTTCTAATTTTTCATAAAATACTTTGACATTTCTTGAACATTTGCGAGTTAGTAGTCTCTGAATTCATTAATTTTATCGCATTCCAGCACATAATGACGCAGTGTGACACTGGTCCATCTGGTAAAGTTTACATTTAATTTGGTTTACATTATCTGGTGGTGGTGATTTAACCCACCAGAAATACTGGTAATCCAGCCGGAGCCTGGCATTAGTGACATCCAAGAGTGTTTATTTTGTTGGGTGTACCATAGACATGTGGCTCCTCCTGCATAATAGTGATGATAGGTGGCCTGACTGGTGTCAGTCTCCCTCAGTTTCAAGTCACTGAAGTTCGGTTGAAGTTCTTTCCGTATTATTGTTCTCAGATTGCTATATGACAGTCCAAGATTGCAATCTACTCCCTCTTTGAAGGCATATGACTTTGCCAATTCATCAGTTCTGTCCTGCATATGAAGACAGTGTGAGATGAAATCCAGTGTCCACAATCTTTCCATACCTGTGTCCGGCTTTTGACACAAACATGTCACAATTATTACTCAAGAAGTTAAGAATATTCATAGATGATAAAGAATCATTTACAATTAAGGTGTCAACCTTAGATACATGGACACATTTGAGTACGAGGAGTATGACAAACAGTTCAGTTGTTTAGAAGGTTGGTATTGATTATGGAGTGTGTAGGTACCATTTAGACACTTTTAATCTCTAAATAGTATAGTAATATTTTTCATTACATACGTGTATTATGCTTCCTGAGAGGGAGGTGCATTGATGCTAGTGAGGGGCTCTGATCCAAGGAACTGGTCTTCCAATTGCTTAGATTGAGACTGAATTCTTACCATTACACCGGCGCTATATGACCCCTATGGTTTTGGTGCTTTCATCTCTGATTAAAATAAAATTATTGTAAAAGGCATAACTTTTTAATGGCTGATAAATAGTATGAAATCGGTGAAACGTTTCTTAAGTACAGGCTGTGTAGGCGCAAATTTTGTTGGATTCTGATCAGTAATTGGAAAATGCATCGTCTGGTCAGTTTACACTTTTAGTGCTATGCTTTTCCTCAAAGGAAGGTGTCTTTTGATTTTAGAATGTGCATGATATCATGTGCCAATTTTATTATTCAAACTGTTTTTGTGAATTAATTAGTGAATGTCTCTTCTAATCAAACAAATCACGGTGTGGCTTTGCTGGATTTTTATTAGTTGAATCTGTATAATGTACCTTTGTGTCTATAGATCTGTGTGCTCTCAAAATCACTGTTTAAAAAATTTATGTACACAAAACTTAAATAAAACTTAATTATTTACTTACGGCTTAAAAGCTAATCAGTCTTACTTAGAGAAAAGTTTGGGTTGATTTTGGCCTGTATAGGTCCCAGTTTGCTTTCTTTTTTTTTTAAGAAATTGAGAAAAATGAATTACTGCTCTTTATGCGATAATTTCTGAGCGTCGCATCCGATTATTTCAATCCATCCGCGTTGAAGATGTCTTCAGCAACTCTTTTGCCAACAACTCTTTAGCATGACCTAATTCCACTAGTAAGCCCAGCTCGCCTCTGACCACATCTCCAAGCTGCTACACATCATCTTCCTGTATACAAATCTCTGGCCAACTTCACCTGCTTTAAGAGACTGATCAGCTTGCATCTAGGGTGATAGACTGATCACACTAAACTACCTATACACTTCGTTTTCCACCAGGAGTATCGACTCTGTGTTCGCCTGATCAAGCCTGTAGCACAGGCGAAACGTTTCGTCAGTAATGTTCCTAGTGTTGCAGTGTCTTACTTATCAACTTACCAGTATTGTGATACGTTGTTTTTAGTTGCAGGTATATAAGATGACCTTATCACTGGTCAAGCAACCAATGAGTGCTGGGTAACCAGTTATTTAAAAAATAATCGCTTATGATGCATCTTAAAAAATGTACAATTTTCGATATACTGTAGATACCCAGTATTAGTTGAATGACTCGTTATTATAATCATGGGGAAGTGCTAAACTCGTATGAGTCTGATACCTAAAACTCCTTGGATCAGGAGCCCTTCACCAGCATCACGGTGATCCCCTTAAAGAAAGATTAATGACACAAGCATCCACATAAGCGTGCTTGATGTGTGCTGTGTATATATCATAAAATCATCAGTGTGATTGAAATAACGTTCCCGATTTAATTGCTTTTTTTAGTTTTATTATATTAAAAACCAAACGCCAAAATCGTACGGGTCATACAGTATTACCTGTTTTCTAACTGAAGTTCCGTCTTTGGTATTTAGTTTGTTGTAAGTGTATATATTTTTAAAGTTCCCATTAGTTTTAGCACTTTCTACCTCTTGTAAATTATTCCATTGTTCTACCACTGTAAAGCACTTTCCAGTACGCCTTCGGTACCTCTTCTTTCTTGCCGGGTCAACATCTGGCAGACCCGGGCCGGGACAAGACCGGCGAACCTACTAGTCATCATTCTTAGTTTATAGCTTCAACTACCTGGTCTCCATACAGGTGGCAGTGGTGCTCAATAAAAACTCTAGACATGCTGGAGCGTGCGGAAGGATTCTAGTTCCGTGGCTGGCCTGGGTAGCATATGCAGTACCTGGAGAGGGTTTCGGGGGTCAACGGCCCCGCGGCTCGGTCTGAGACCAGGTCTCATGGTGGATCAGGGTCTGATCAACCAGGCTGTTACTGTTGGCCCCACGCAAGCTGACGTACGAACCACAGCCCGGTTGGTCAGGTACTGACTTTAGGTGCCTGTCCAGTGCCTTCTTAAAGACAGCCAGGGGTCTATTAGTAATCCCCCTTATGTATGCTGGGAGGCAACTGAGCAGTCTTGGGCCCCGGACACTTATTGTGTTGTTTCTCAATGTACTCGTGGCGCCCCTGCTTTTCATCTGGGGAATGTTGCATCTCCTGCCGAGTCTTTTGCTTTCATAGAGAGTGACATTCCGTGTGCAGGTTTGGAACCAATCCCTCCAGGACCTTCCAAGTGTATATTATCATGTATCTCTCTCGCCTGCGTTCCAGGAAATACAGATCAAGGGCCTTCAACCATTCCCAGTAATTTAGGTGCCTTATCGTACTTATGTGTGCCGTAAAAGTTCTTTGTACACTCTCCAGGTCTGCAATGTCGCCAGCCTGAAGGGGGCCGTTAGTGTACAGCAGTATTCCAGCCTAGAGAGCACAAGCGATTTGAAGAGAATCATCATGGGCTTGGCGTCCCTAGTTTTGAAGGTTCTCATTATCCATCCTATCACTTCCCTAGCAGATGAGGTAGATACATTGTTGTGGTCTTTGAAAGCGAGATCCTCTACCATTATCACTCCCAGGTCCTTCACATTACTTTTCCGATCTATCGTATGGTTAGAATTTGTCGTATACCCTGATACATTTTTAATTTCCTCAAGTTTCCTATATCTGAGTAGTTGAAATTTCTCCTCGTTGAACTTCATGTTGTTTTGAGTAGCCCATTCGAAGATTTGGTTGATGTCCACTTGGAGTCTTGCAATGTCTTCGATGGAGGTCACTGCCATGGTGATCCGGGTGTCATCCGCAAAGGAAGACATGGAGCTTTGGCTTATATCTCTGTCTATGTCAGAAATGAGGATGAGGAATAGAATTGAAGCGAGTACTGTGCCTTGTGGAACAGAGCTTTTTACCGTGGCTGCCTGGGACTTTACTCTGTTTACTATTGCTCTTTGTGTTCTGTTTGTCAGGAAGTTGTATGGGAAATTTCTTTACAACTGAGAGTGTATCAATTCGATGATAGATTATATGTGTACAATGTCCATGTACAAAACATACGAGAGCATATATTTACAATGAGATTATACAATGACAGTACACGCAATTAATGTATAAAATAAAGAGTGCAGTGATAATGTATCTGTGTAATGAGTAGACGGTGACAGTGTATAATACAGTGATGAATATACAAGTGTATACAAAAATATATACACGAAGAGTACATATTGACAGTATACAAAAAGTATACAATGCCAGTACATCTATACAATGAGCATACAAGTGGTGTATCAATACCCAGAGACGATGTCGGGGATCAGTGCCACCGTGGCCCATTCCCAGTCCACCTTGATCAGCTAGGCTGTTGGTAGTAGTGAAACTCATACCAACGCATGCACCACAGCCCATCTAATCAGAAAACGAGAGGGGGAACATAACAAGGTCCCTCTTGAAGGCAGCTGAGGGTCTACTGATAATCCTCCATTAAGGGAGAGTGTTGATGAGTCTTGATCTCTTTATGCTTATTGAATTATCTTCTAGTGTATTCAGTGCAGTCTTGCTCTTCATTGTGGGTATTTTGCACCATTTGCCAAGCTTCTTGCGTGTTAGCATCTATACAATGAGTATATTACACTGTATAGATAAACTGTCACTGTATAGATACTAACACGCAAGAAGTTTGGCAAATAGTGCAAAATACCCACAATGAAAATACTGAGTGCAGTGAGTATACTAGGAGATAATTTAATAAGTAATGAGTGTATTACATTGTATACGGTATGTATGAATGTATGTATATGCCTAACCTAGCAGGAAGTAAATCCCAGTGTCAGCCAACTGTCGTGGGTGGCATAACTCGCCGATATACATATACATATACATACATACATATATATATATATATATATATATATATATATATATATATATATATATATATATATATAATATATATATATATATAATATATGAGTGATGAGTATATCGTGCCAGTATAGAAGACAGGGACATCACCAGTGTGGTCATACAACACAGCTCCTGGACAGCGGCCTCTGCAACACTGAACTTCAAATGATTATATCCTGGGTAACTCACGTCATAAGCGGATGTACCTTGGTGCACTGAGGTCTATATAATGTCATCTATCATCCACACCTCATTATTTTGTTTAACACTAAAAGATATTACTGTTCAAGTGCATTTCACTTTTTTTTTCAAATTATGTCGGTTACTCCTTTTCACTGTTGTAATAACTGATAAATTCAAACTTGTCAGTAAGCTTTTCTTCACGTTTAATAAACAAATTTAGATTTTACACTTGTCTATACAGTAACTTAAGTGTAAACAAATCTAGGATAACCAAGTAAGGTCAAATACTGAATTATTTGTTGGAGTTATTGTTCTATCATTTTTGTCTTTTCCTGAATATTACCACAAATGTTACTGTGCATATTAGTATATTATTGTGCATATTTGTATGTTATTAACGTATATTAACTCATTTTCCTTGGTCTTTGGATATTATATAACATTGCGTACAAATCGCATTCACCTCTTAACATGATCAATTAATGTGTATCTAAATGAACATTGAACACAAGTTTGATGATTATATAAAGTTAAAGCTTCATGTATATAATATTTCTTTATACTTCGTGCAGCTTTTCATTAACACTGTTGAACTCTTCATTCACATGAAAGTATAACACCACATCAAAGTTTGTGATGAGCGCAGCACAGCAGTGTGCTAACACCAGCACAGGCAGGTTGAATGTGAAGGACACAGCAAGCAGCAGCAGGTTATAATACTCTCCTCACCAGCCGTACCTCTCACACACACCGTCACAACTACACCCTCACGCCATCTATGTTCCACACCTTCAACTACTCACCAAATATGCCATTGTCAGATAAGATAAGATTTTGTTCGGATTTTTAACCCCGGAGGGTTAGCCACCCAGGATAACCCAAGAAAGTCAGGGCGTCATCGAGGACTGTCTAACTTATTTCCATTGGGGTCCTTAATCTTGTCCCCCAGGATGCGACCCACACCAGTCGACTAACACCCAGGTACCTATTTGCTGCTAGGTGAACAGGACAATAGGTGTAAGGAAACGTGTCGGAATTTCCACCCGCCGGGAATCGAACCCGGGCCCTCCGTGTGTGAAGCGGGAGCTTTAGCCACCAGACCACGTTGAGGTAAACATGTTTACTTTCATTCCTGTTTTTCTGGATTAAACTATTCTTGATGCTAATGTATACAAAAAGTTGCAGCTTTAATATATACCTGGAGGAGAGTTTAGGGGGTCAACGCCCCCCGCTGCCCGGTCCATGACCAGGCCTCGTAGTGGATCATGGCCTGATCAACCATGCTGTTACTGCTGGCCGCACGCAAACTGACGTACGACATTTTATGGTTTAAAAATAAAATATCTTGAGATTACCTGGAGTTTACCTGGAGAGAGTTTCGGGGGTCAACGCCCCCGCGGCCCGGTCTGTGACCAGGCCTCCTGGTGGATCAGAGCCTGATCAACCAGGCTGTTACTGCTGGCTGCACGCAAACCAACGTACGAGCCACAGCCCGGCTGATCAGGAACCGACTTTAGGCAAGAAATGGCAGAAATCGTTCACCATGTGGAAAATTGCATTTAACTGAATGTATCATTATATACATAACAGTAAATGAACATAGATAATTATTATTTATCAGTTAGACAAGTAGGAATTTGGGACACCTAGGTCGCAAAAAATGTCCCCCTTCGATACCTACCACTGTCATATCCACAAGTTGCTCTCGACCTATTAATTAAATGAAATATACATCACCAGGAATGCTGGTAAATATATAAATTTGTGGACTGTATATTAAATTAAAAAATGATTATATATAAATACACATTTATATAACAGGAGAATATATCTTAATCATAACACTCACCAATTTGACTGGAAATCAAGGTGTATCATACTCATAAAACCTCTGTCTATACATGAAAATAACAACTGGCCAGAGTTATAACATAACAGACTTATCTGAGGTTCCTGGAGCTGTCTTGTCCAGTTGCCTGATATCTCCAGTTATGCAGGAATGCACATCCAACAATTTCGCCTCCTATTTGAGAGGTGTCAGCCCAATTTTAACCTCTAGAGAACGAAAATTCGTTCCCATTACACTAACGTTGTATCCAATTCAAATTAACAATGGCGACTGTCTGTCTGCGCAGGCGCAAGTCCAGTTTCCCATTTTCGATAACATACTTCTTTTAAAAATACAATATAGGGCATCTATTTACCTATAAATTACCGTATTTCTGGAAAATATATACAGTATTTTCCACACACCAAATCCAATCATTTCCGGGGTGGAATCACAGATGGCCTCCACTCCAAACCAACAGACACGTATTAGTGCCAGGAAAAAAAGTCCACCCCCCCAGTACGACCAATACCACCAATCCGATGACATTCTTCTTTGCAAATATACAGGGTCTGAAGCCAGCAACAAACAATAAAATACCTTTCATCCGTGGACTGCTTGCAGAGGCAAATGCAATGTTCGCGGCTTTCACAGAAACCCACATAAAGGATCACTTGGACAAAGAAATATGGATCCTGGGTTACAACCTATACAGATGCGACAGAGTGAACATGCAAAAGGGGAGGATTGGCCTGTATATTGCAGAGTCACTTATTTGCTCAGAACTGCTAAATGCCTCAAATGATGTAGTTGAAGTTATAGCAGTAAAGATCGAGAACCAAAATCTGGTCATTGTAGTATTTTACAAGCCTCCGGATGCAACGTCCCAACAATTCCAGGAAAAGCTGTTGAAAATTGACCACTGTCCAGAAAATCTTCCAGCTCCTGCCCCCAACATCTTGCTCCTGGGGGATTTCAACTTAAGGCACCTAAAATGGAGGAATATAGCAAATAATGTTGTCGCAGTGGTAAAACCAGGAGGCAGCTCGGATGAGAACTCACACACACATGAGCTTTTGAATCTCTGTGCAAAATTCACCTTAAACCAGCAAATAATAGAGCCTACTAGATTGGAGAATACACTGGACCTCATCTTCACTAACAATGATGATCTGATACGAAATGTCACCAAATCAAAAACAATATACTCAGATCACAAAATAATCGAGGTTCAGACATGTATGCACGGAGCCCCAGTTAGTTAGTTTAATATCTTTATTATGCACCCCATACACATCCTGTGGGCGGTAGTCAAAAGATTACAAAGGTACATAAAGGGTCCAGGGACTGGACCCCAAAGTTATAATAGCTGAACTGGTTACAAAGGTAATGAGCTCCAGGTAGATCTGGTCACAATCATGGCAAGTTACAAAGGTAATGAATCAGCCTCACTCCTATACATGGTTACAGTCATGAACAAATTACAAAGTAATGAGAAATTGATACGTCCACACCTGGCCACAATTGTAATGAGGTCAATATATCTGAAATGCTGGTCAGAGAAATAGCAAGCATCGAACTTAAGCTAAAAGAATCCTTTAGGAGTCAGGAATCGCGGGAAGAACTAAAAGCCATAAATGAAATCGAAAGAAACCCAAAGTATTTCTTCTCCTATGCCAAATCAAAATCGAGAACAACGTCCAGTATTGGGCCCCTACTTAAACAAGATGGGTCCTACACAGATGACAGCAAGGAAATGAGTGAGCTACTCAAGTCCCAATATGACTCAGTTTTTAGCAAGCCGCTAACCAGACTGAGAGTCGAAGATCAAAATGAATTTTTTATGAGAGAGCCACAAAATTTGATTAACACAAGCCTATCCGATCTTATCCTGACGCCAAATGACTTCGAACAGGCGATAAATGACATGCCCATGCACTCTGCCCCAGGGCCAGACTCATGGAACTCTGTGTTCATCAAGAACTGCAAGAAGCCCCTATCACGAGCCTTTTCCATCCTATGGAGAGGGAGCATGGACACGGGGGTCGTCCCACAGTTACTAAAAACAACAGACATAGCCCCACTCCACAAAGGGGGCAGTAAAGCAACAGCAAAGAACTACAGACCAATAGTACTAACATCACATATCATAAAAATCTTTGAAAGGGTCCTAAGAAGCAAGATCACCACCCATCTAGATACCCATCAGTTATACAACCCAGGGCAACATGGGTTTAGAACAGGTCGCTCCTGTCTGTCTCAACTATTGGATCACTACGACAAGGTCCTAAATGCACTAGAAGACAAAAAGAATGCAGATGTAATATATACAGACTTTGCAAAAGCCTTCGACAAGTGTGACCATGGCGTAATAGCGCACAAAATGCGTGCTAAAGGAATAACAGGAAAAGTCGGTCGATGGATCTATAATTTCCTCACTAACAGAACACAGAGAGTAGTCGTCAACAGAGTAAAGTCCGAGGCAGCTACGGTGAAAAGCTCTGTTCCACAAGGCACAGTACTCGCTCCCATCTTGTTCCTCATCCTCATATCCGACATAGACAAGGATGTCAGCCACAGCACCGTGTCTTCCTTTGCAGATGACACCCGAATCTGCATGACAGTGTCTTCCATTGCAGACACTGCAAGGCTCCAGGCAGACATCAACCAAATCTTTCAGTGGGCTGCAGAAAACAATATGAAGTTCAACGATGAGAAATTTCAATTACTCAGATATGGCAAACATGAGGAAATTAAATCTTCATCAGAGTACAAAACAAATTCTGGCCACAAAATAGAGCGAAACACCAACGTCAAAGGCCTGGGAGTGATCATGTCGGAGGATCTCACCTTCAAGGACCATAACATTGTATCAATCGCATCTGCTAGAAAAATGACAGGATGGATAATGAGAATCCTCAAAACTAGGGAGGCCAAGCCCATGATGACACTCTTCAGGTCACTTGTTCTATCTAGGCTGGAATATTGCTGCACACTAACAGCACCTTTCAAGGCAGGTGAAATTGCCGACCTAGAAAATGTACAGAGAACTTTCACGGCGCGCATAACGGAGATAAAACACCTCAATTACTGGGAGCGCTTGAGGTTCCTAAACCTGTATTCCCTGGAACGCAGGAGGGAGAGATACATGATTATATACACCTGGAAAATCCTAGAGGGACTAGTACCGAACTTGCACACGAAAATCACTCACTACGAAAGCAAAAGACTTGGCAGACGATGCAACATCCCCCCAATGAAAAGCAGGGGTGTCACTAGCACGTTAAGAGACCATACAATAAGTGTCAGGGGCCCGAGACTGTTCAACTGCCTCCCAGCACACATAAGGGGGATTACCAACAGACCCCTGGCAGTCTTCAAGCTGGCACTGGACAAGCAACTAAAGTCAGTTCCTGATCAGCCGGGCTGTGGCTCGTACGTTGGTTTGCGTGCAGCCAGCAGCAACAGCCTGGTTGATCAGGCTCTGATCCACCAGGAGGCCTGGTCACAGACCGAGCCGCGGCGGCGTTGACCCCCGGAACTCTATCCAAGTAAACTCCGGGTAT